TTGAAATAAACGCAGATCCTCAAGACCAATCCATGGAATCCATTACCCTTAGGTTGATTAAAAGGTTCTTAGCCTCGCATGGCTAAGGTAAACATAATTGAAATAAAAAAAGAAGAAGAAGAAGAAGAAAAGATGAAGAACGCAATTGAATAAAAACTCAGAGAGAACTTCTCTGTTGTAAAAACTGACTCCCAAGGGTTTCCTAGAGTCCCCTTTAAATAGCCGTCACGCAGGACGGCTAGGGTTTCATTGCTTCAGCCCAAACATAAAATAAAAAAACCGAATAAAATAAAATGAAACAATAAAACTTGGCTTTGGGCCACTTAAGTAATTGGGTTTTAATTTAAATTACAAGCCCAATAGTCAAACAAAACTTCAGCAAAACGCGTCCAACTTGGTGTCCGAAATCAACCAGCTTCTAGTCCGAATTGGGCTTAGAGCTCTGCATAAGAATTGTAGCTCTCTGTGTTATCTGAAAAACCCAACAAGAACAGAGTCAATCCGACAACTATGGACCGAGATATGGCCAAAATACAGAAGTAACGTAAAGCTGAAAAATTCTGACGAAAATAAATTAAACCCAATTAAAAACTAAAAACCTAAATTAACTCTAACAATCATTATTTTATTCAAATAAATCCTAAAAATACTAATCAAGAGTAACAAATAAGTGTAACAAAATATGTGTTATCAAATTCCCCCACACTTATCTTTTTGCACTCCTGGGCAAAAACTAAAATTGAAAGTAAATACTAAGATCAACCAATCCTTTCTAACAATTACCAAGCATACAGAAAATATACAAAGATCACAAGTCTTCTACAGATAAATCAATCAGGACAGAAATTCCCTAATCTCAAATCACAAGACCTGCTAACTTCAACTGCAACTGCTAACTGCATAAAAAATGGTTCCTCACAAGATGCTCTCAATTTTTCTCTCAAGTGTATCAGTTAATTCAGTATATCACTCAAATCAACTCAAGAAAATCATCCTACCATAGGCTTGCTCAAGTTCTACTTCTCCACTGCTCATAACACATGCATGCACAAATCAAGAGGGCTTTATGCAGGGTTGTAATGGGGCTGAGGTAAAGGTATGGATGAATATGGAAGAGAAAGCTAAACACCCCAGAATTTTACAAAGAGCAAAAGTTAAGAACTAAACTAAGAACATAAAACAAAGATACTGAAAAGATAAACACTTTTTTTTTTTTTTTTTTTTTGTTTTTTTTTTTTTTGTTTTTTTTTCTTTTTTTTTTTTGCTTTTTTTTTTTGTTTTTTGTTTTTGTTTTTTTGTTTTTTGTTTTGAAGAAGTAAAACCACATAGCAGAAATGAATCAGATAGTCACCCCCCACACTTAAACTTTTGTCCGTCTCGGGCAAACCCCACACTTAAACACAACATCACAATGAAACCAATGCTCAGTAAAACTCCAGGGTGTGGAATTAATTGGTTTTTCACTTAGGCTTGTAATGCGGCTTAAGAAATAAAAGATATAAAGGCTCAAAGGGGCTCACCAAGGGATAATAATATAATGGACGACTATCTGGCTAAAGTGGGTACAGAAAAGAAAGAATGCCTCAATCATGTTCATTCATGCAAGTGAAAAATGCAGTTTCAAAAAGAACAAGAGCAAGTTCTAGAGGACAACAATCAAGAGCAGAAACACACAAGAAAGAAAGCATGGCCAGAAGATATGCCATGTATGCAGGCTCAAAACCTCACAAGGGTAAACCAAGTCATGCAATCAACAACACAGAATCAATCAACAGGTAGTTGTAATCCAAGAATCGAGATCAAAGCCCAACAGATTTATGCTATCAAACACTGTGATCTATGTCTACTCTATGTACCACTCAATAATTACCAGAAAGAAAAGGAAAATCTACCTATGAAAAAAAATCATAAACTAAAAGAAAGAAAGGAAAAGAAAAATAAAAATGCAAATAACAAAAAGAAAAGAAAAAGTCAAAAACTAAAAGAAAGAAAGGAAAAGAAAAATAAAAATGCAAATAACAGAAAGAAAATAAAAAGAGGGAAGAGAACTCCCTGAACTCCCTAAGGAGAATAAACAGCATCAAGTAGCTTGATTTCTTCCTCACTGGTTTAACACCTTCAAGTAAAATGCGGTGCATGCACATGGAAGGGCTGATTCCCACATTATCTGCTAAAGTCCATCCAATTGCCTTTTTATTTTCTTTCAGCAATGTCAGAAGCTTTACCTCTTGCTCAGGTAGAAGGTTCTTGGCCACTATCACAGGTAACTGCTCATTTTCCTCAAGAAATGCATATTTCAAGTGGTCGGGCAGAACCTTCAACTCCAATTTCGGAGGTTGCTCACTGGATGGAAGAGGTGTAGTTGGTGGTGCAAATTCTGCAGAAAACAAGTCAGCAGCAATGCCTGTAAACAAATTCTCAGAAACAGAATTAGGATCATCAATAATATCAGCAGGCAATTCAGAAAGTGCAGATTCACACTCAGAATCAGATTCATCAATAAGTGCATCGTTAAAACCAGAAAGATGTGATGCTATTTCAGCACACACAATGCACTCTTGACTATCACTACAATCACAGAAATCAGAATCAGTAGATGAAAAATCAGAAAAATCAGCAAGGAATTCAGCAGAAACATCCTCAACAACTTCGTCTATCACATCAATGCAGAAAACAGAATGCTCAGATGTATCAGTGCTTTGCCTCTTGGAGCTAGTGTCACTTCCCTTAGATGACTCAGCAGCAGTGTGGTTTGGCTCCTCCATATGCTTGCCAGACCGTAGAGTAATAGCACTCACATTTCCGCTTCCCTTTGTATTTGGAACTGTTTGGGATGGAAGGGAGCTGCCACTTGCTTGTTGATTTTGACTCATTGACGTTGCAAGTTGGCCAATCTGTGTTTGCAGATTCTGGAGGGAATACTCAGTAATCTGCTGGAACTGCAGATTGATAGTTGCCATCTGCTTCACTAAATCCTCCAAAGAAGGACCATCACTACTGGCTTGCTGCTGCATTGGCTGTGGAGGTGCAAATTGTTGAAAATTTTGCCTCTGTTGAGAAGGTGCAAACTGCTGCCTATGTTGGAATGGTGCACTTTGCTGGTTCTGATTCCAATTGAGATTTGGATGATTTTTCCAGCCAGGATTATATGCATTAGAGAAGGGATTGTTTTGCTGCTGCTGCTGGTATTGTGGCTTTGCAGGAAAAACTGCAGCAAAAGACTGATCAACTTGGAAACCGTTGTCTGGAAAGGAAGAACAAACATCTGTAGGGTGAAAAATTGGATTCATAGCAAACAGAAGCAAAAATAAATCTATAAAAAAAATACTAAATGAACTCAGAATGCTATGGGACCAACACTCCTAAACTCTAAATGACCTTACGGACTCAAAAATCAAATAAATTGTTTTTTCGAAAAATAAAATAAAATAGTAAACAAAGGAATTTGGCAAAACCAGTTTTCAGAGCGATCAGAGCAAGTTGAACAAGTTCAGAAATACCCGATACGTCCTGGAACCAATCGCTCAAACTGAAGTTTTACCGATTTCCCAATTTTATTTTATTTTTGATTTTTTTGATTGATTTTTTTTTAATTTTTTTTTCAAAAACGAAAATTAAAGAAAAAGAAGATGAAGATGAAAAAGAAGATGATCAAGAATCAGAAAACGATTTAGACCGATGCAATTTCCCCGGCAACGGCGCCAAATTTGACACGAGTTGTCGAACTCGCGCAAATTAAAATTAATTCTTTAGGGTTCAGAAAATTTTGCAGTAAAGTGGAAACCCTAAGTCGTCTCTCAAGGAAATTGTTTTGGTTAAAATCGCTTATGAGAACAGAAAATTAAAAGGGGGGGTTTTGGATTTTGATTCAATAATTAAAAAGGCAGAATATAAATTTGGAATAAAAATTCGTAATTAAAAATAACCAACCTAAGGTTTGGGTTCCATGGACGTCTTTCCTCGGATAAGAAGATATCAGAATCGTGATTGATTTGTCAATCAGATCAGAATCCTTATTTCCAATTGACAACCCTCTCTAAGCGATCGCTTAGCATTTGATCAAAGACGATGCTTCTACTCATACAATCGCAGAGTATCAGCCCGCTTGATTTAAGGTCATAGGGTCAATCAACCTAATCATCAAATCTGATGATTAATCCCTTTCCATAATCGCAATCGCGAACCTCAGATTGAATATCCACGATTGCACGATATCAATCTGAGTTGGGAAGGGAAACAAAACTGATTTGAAATAAACGCAGATCCTCAAGACCAATCCATGGAATCCATTACCCTTAGGTTGATTAAAAGGTTCTTAGCCTCGCATGGCTAAGGTAAACATAATTGAAATAAAAAGAAGAAGAAGAAGAAGAAGAAGAAAAGATGAAGAACGCAATTGAATAAAAACTCAGAGAGAACTTCTCTGTTGTAAAAACTGACTCCCAAGGGTTTCCTAGAGTCCCCTTTAAATAGCCGTCACGCAGGACGGCTAGGGTTTCATTGCTTCAGCCCAAACATAAAATAAAAAAACCGAATAAAATAAAATGAAACAATAAAACTTGGCTTTGGGCCACTTAAGTAATTGGGTTTTAATTTAAATTACAAGCCCAATAGTCAAACAAAACTTCAGCAAAACGCGTCCAACTTGGTGTCCGAAATCAACCAGCTTCTAGTCCGAATTGGGCTTAGAGCTCTGCATAAGAATTGTAGCTCTCTGTGTTATCTGAAAAAACCAACAAGAACGGAGTCAATCCGACAACTATGGACCGAGATATGGCCAAAATACAGAAGTAACGTAAAGCTGAAAAATTCTGACGAAAATAAATTAAACCCAATTAAAAACTAAAAACCTAAATTAACTCTAACAATCATTATTTTATTCAAATAAATCCTAAAAATACTAATCAAGAGTAACAAATAAGTGTAACAAAATATGTGTTATCACCCGCAAAGGAAGAAAAAACACAGAAATGGGAACTCAAGCCCCATAGCAATCAGGGTCACGATGAAAGAGTGCACAGTCCAGAATCAAACAATACATCAATATCACAACCACCAATGGAAATGGTACCTCTTACAAGGTTCGGAGCTCTGTCCGACTGCTGCCGATCCAAGGTGTAAACTCGGCCCATGGCTGGTGACACGACAGGTGCCGCTGTAGGTGGAGTAGGAATCATCTGTAAAGGAACCGCCTGAACTATTGCAGCTCTAGCAGCTGATGAAGGACAATCTCTGGCATAGTGGCCCTCCTTGCCACAATGAAAACAAATGATTTGGTCGGTGGCACACGGCCCAACATGTGATCTCCCACATCCAGTACACCTGGGAATAGTGGAATGTCTAACTGCACTTCCCTGAGTCGAAGTCCACTTGAACTGGTTCAGCGCCTGCCTAGCAGATAACTGCTTCCCTTTGCCTTTTCCTCCAAAATTCATGTCTCTCCAGGAAATGAAGCTACCAGCTCCCTTCACCTCAAGCTCTCCCGTCTTCCTCTTCCTGTTCTTTATGCAAACATTCTCAATATCATGGCTTTGCTGGATCAAGGTACCAAAGTCTCTAGAGGCAGTACCAACAATACGATCTTCTATCTCTTCATTAAGTCCCCTACGGAAATTAGAAGCCAAGAATGCCAATGTAG